GCTGACAGCCTTTTAGCCCTACCTGATCCTGCGAACGCCTACTTGAGCAGAGTGGACGAGGGGAAGGAGTGCCAGATTATCGAGCCAGCTGGAAGCTCTCGCTCTCCAGTGCAGCTGTCTCTCTACTTTGGAGCGTGGAATCACAACGGGGTGGCCCGCCGTCCAAAGCCATTGGGCAAGCCTGACAAGTGCCACGCGCTGCCGGAGATGGCGTGGTGGAACGCTCTTGGAGTGCTCTGCTGCACGTGCCATCGAGGGAGGTTAACGGAGAGCGCCCCATGCGTTCACAAGCTGATCCTGGCGGCATTGAGCGACAGTTGGGCTCCGAGCTGGGACCTGCCAACCAGTCAGACCCTTGGGCAGAGAGAAAAGATTGAGCGGGTCTCGTGGGACGATAGGGGGTCCTACTATGCGGTGGTCGACAACCCCCGAAGCCCCTCGTGCGCCAAGCGGCGCATGCTCCTTCAGAGTGTTGCCGGAAGCTGGCACTGCGAAGGGAAGAGAGACGGTTGCCCATCGCTGACAGAGTGCGTCCACATAAGCACGGCGAGAGCTGTTCTCGCCAAAGGGGATGTGCCGGATTGCGAGAGGCTGGCGTTCGGATCGGCACCGTTTGCCAAGGCGGCAATTGCCTGGTTAGAGGGCGGGCGTTCGCACGATCAGGTCGGGCCAAAAGGCTGTCACCAGTATCCAAATAAATGACTCGGCACTTATATGGCCGCCATTTTGACATAACTTGGTCAAATTAAGTTTCGATTTCGGCATTGGGTTCCCTAAAGGGAACTCTAAATAGTCCGCAAAAAGTTCCGAAAATTTTGACAACTGCCCGGTAGATGCAAAACGTGCCCGATAGACGGCAGTTTTGAAAAGGGCAACCTTTGGAAGTTGTACCCGGAGCAACTTTTTTCCTCTGAAACTTGGTCACAAGTATCGTCTCAGGTAACCCGAGAGTCCCATCTCTTAAGTTTCCACAAATCTTGCCAAACCCGGGCTCTGTGCTGTAATTTTATTTTTAGGATTTATTCAAATTTATATTGAATCAACTTTGTCGACCCGCTATCAACCGGGTCAGGGTCCCAAAATTTTAACGGACAACGCCAGGAACTAGAGTTCGGCTAGTAGTGCCCGGTGACCAAGTTCGACCTCGGGAATTGCTCGTTTGGTCCGACTTCTGTGGGTTGCCCTTTGCACCGTATCCAATTTCGGTCATCAACCGGGCACCGATAAAATCTACCGGTTCCCGACCAAATTTTCAGAATTCAAACCGGTACACTGATTACTGGTCGTTTTATCTACCGGTAGCACGAAATCGAGCACGATTCGGCCAAGTATGCATCAAATGGGAGAGTGAAACGTGGCGCAGGTTCATAAATGACCGAATCTGACAAGTGGTCACACAATGGTAACATCTCCAACGGCGTGTGTACACGTGTACTTTTCAGCGCGGACGGCCGTACTTTTTGGCACCACCGACCGGTACCAAGTCACTGGAGTGTACCAAGGATCGATTCCAACGACATTCGACCGAGGATTCATTTTTTTGGTATTTATTATCATTTGTTTTTAAAAGTGCCGAAATTGGCCCTACCGGATCCTGCGAACGCCCTAGAGCAATGGTCCGAAGAGGAGTTGCCGCAAATCGGGGACGAAAGGGCGGTGCCGACAGGGGTTGCCTCGCAGGGAAGCCTCGTGCCTCGAGAAGGAGGGGAGCTCACGGATGAACAGCAGTACTTGTTGGGGCTGCTTCAGAGGCGGCCACACGAGGGGGGAGCGTGTGCCGGAGAGGAGTGCTTTTGCAAAAGGCACGCGGCTCTGTTCGGCGAGGCACGCCCCACGGAGACGGAGCCTGAGGGCCGCAAAACCCAAGTCATGGGGCAGGAGGAAGGAGGGGGCGCACATGAGCCGCCTGCAGGCAAGCGGAGGAGAAGGGGGAAGAGTTTTTGGGAGACGCAAGCACGTGCGCCCATCCTGGGACGGGGCCGACCGGCGGAGCCCGAGGGGGCGGTGCCGCCGTTAGACGCTTGCGGAAAGGAGGCCATCCACGGCTGGGTTGCGGCCTGCTCGAGCTGCACACTGAGCTCGCTGAAGATCGAGGGCGCCTGCGCGCACGCGCTTCACGAGCGGGCCCAATGTCATATGATGCTGCTGACTACGGAAGCCGTTCAGGTTTCTAAACCAAAGCTGGCAAGGCCCAGCGACGCCTCAACTGTGCACGACCCTCTAGTCACATGCCTCCAATTCCCGGTGCCCCTTAGCGAGCTCAGAGACTGCCACTATGCCGAGCTCTCCCGACGCGGCCTCCTGAGCGCCCCTTGCCCCCTTGAAGCCCCTCCTTGCGGAACTCAATGGATGGAAGCCTGGGTAGAGGCTACCGTCGAGGCGTCAACGTGGAGCAAGAAGGTGCGAGTGCGGCTGTACCACTGTTCGTGCCTGGACCGGGCCCATGCCGTCCACTTTGACGGGGAGCATCTGGGGCTCTACGTCTGGTCCAAACGTACGCTGTTTCACCAACAAAGCCTCCAGCTCCTTCTGCGGGGCATGCAAAGCGGCCAATCTTTCAGGGCCGTGCTCGCGCGTGATCAGACCGCGTTCGAGTACACCCCAACCGCGGCGGTTCTGAGCGAAGAGACGTGGCGTCGGGCAAGCCTCGACTTCTTCAAGCTGGTGGGGCTGGGGCTTCGGGATTGCTGCTCGTTGTGCGGGCCGCATCCACAGGTGAGCCACGTGGCTTGCGGTCGCAGGATTCTTCTGTCTATCGTGTCTTTGCTGTTTGTCCGTTCCATGATCTTTCGACACATGCCTGGCAATGTCGGTACCTGACGATGATCAGTGTACATTCTTCCACAATCAGTGTACATTTGCTGATGTTGAGTGTACATCCAGTGACATTCCGTGTACATTCGACGATATTCAATGGACATTCAATGAAATTTCAATCCGTTGATTGGGTGGTCGATCCTGAGCCATGCACTTTAATCCAATCCTGAGCTCGACACACTCGTTGATCTACCGTCGCAAAATTGGACTCTTCTTCAGGTGCTCATTTGCGACGGGATTGTGGGGTTGGCCAGCGCGGACGGCGGACAAAAGCCGGGGGGTCTTGGGAGCTCTTCGCTCGACGCGCGGCGCACGTTCTGCCATCCCAGCCAAACCTCCACGGGGGAGCTCCTCGAGAAGCGGCCCATCTCCGGTCGCGACTACTGCGGGGCAAGTCTTGTGGGTGGCGGCTTGAAGCGCAAGCTCTTGCTGCTACCCGAGTTGCGAGAAGCGCATGCACGCCTCTCTCAGCACAGGCCTCAGGACGGGAAGCTCGGGGAGAGGTTGTCGAAGACGGAGTTTGGAGCGCTCTTGAACGGGCTGGCCCACGAGAACCCCCAGACCGTGAAGCGTTTTGGGCCGGATGAGGCGGAGGGGTCGCTTCCAGAGGACGGCAGACGGCGCATGCTTGCCGACCAGCGCACGATGGTGCGAGACCGGAATCTGGCCGTCCTCGAGTTGCTGACGGGGATCCAGGCCGACTTCGAGAGGCGAGGGTTGAGTCCAGACCTGTGGCTGCACTGGGTGGGGGAGTGGACGGAGCTCCTCTACTGCTTGGGCGCGCACGACTCAGACGAGGATCTAATTGGGGTTGGCGCGTTGCACGTGATCCGGCGGCTTTTGCTTGGGGGCGAGGCAACTCTTGAGGACCGGCGAGACTTGGCAAGGGACGCGCCCATCTTGCGGCGCATCCTGGACGCGTACGAGGGGCTCGCGTTTCCGGCCTTCTTCACGCGCACCCTCTACCATCTCTACCTCATCACCGTCTTTTCAAGGGGGGCAACGGGATTCGAGGCCGATGGGCGGCGCGGCTGGGTGCACGAGGCGCTCGACCCGTTCGATCGAGCCGTCAATCTCTTTAGGGAGGCTCGAGCACGGCCCTTTAGCATCGAGGAGCGACGGCAGTTGGACGAGGCGTGCGGGCTGGCAAACAAATTGCTCCCAGGCCCTACTTACCTACCTCAGCAACGTTTTTGACGATGAACACTCCTCTCCTCCCCATTGCTGATTGTCTACCACACTTCTACCCCACCTACCTACGTGTTGCTTCAAAAGAAGGCCAAAGATGATTGTGCCGCGTTTGTGTTGGACACTTGCAAGCCACCTACCCTATCCTCGCAACAGTCGAGTGCGCACTCCAACCGTCCACACGGCTGCTGCTATTGCAATCGCAAGCTTGAAATCGTCGACCCTCTTGAGCGTCTGGTTGTAGTCGCCGAGGAGCAAAGGCAGGATCACCATGAAGCTCTCAAGCCCCGAATACCACCCCAGGCTTCGAAACCCCTTCAAGAAGGAGTTCACCGACTCCACCGCACTAGTGTTTACCCAGTGAAGCGAAGGATAGGTGTCCGGGCAGTTTGAGGGACCGCACTTGTGGACCTCCTGGCCGGCCTTTGAGAAGTGAAACCTGTGAACAAGAAGATGTACATCAGTTCTCATTCCTGGAAAAAGAATTAATGTACACGTTTCAAATCAACAATCACAGCTTTGGGAGCCTCTGTTCAATTGCGGAATGAATCCCAATGTACACGCAACGGCAAATGACGTATGTACACCACAATCTCAACTCAATGCTCTGCAACAAAAACCACTACAAGCAAGTCTTAACACATATTGTCCACCCATGCGAATATGTGAAAGCATGCACCTGTCGACGACGAAGCGAACATTGGCAAAATGCGCCGGTTCTCTGCGGACTCAAGCAGTAGTTACGCAAGGCGCAGCTGTTGTCGTGGATCAAAACATCTGGCAGATCTTCGCGCCTCAGCCGAGTGTAGAGCACGGCAAACGCGTCCCTTGGGCTCTCTCCGCGCAGCATCACGTGGAACCCATAAATGCACCTGTGGGGGCACGCAAACACAAAGCCCCCCCTGCTCCTCTTTGGCCGCTTACTTGCGCTTCCCTTCTTCCCCGAGAGCTTTCCGGCCCCCTTCACCAATCCGGGAACGTGCTCGGCATCCCACTCCGTCATCGACTTCCCCGTTGCGCACTTGTTCTCTTCGGAGCTCTTACTGCGGCCGTCCGGATGCTCGAAGCTGCTATACCAGGGCAACCCTCGTTTCTGCTCCCAGCCGGGAAACGGGTAGCACGCCAGCACGTCCTGCTCGGCCCGAAAGGCATGGCCCGTTGGCAATGGGTGCAGCTCTTCTCCGTTCTCATCTCGCCCCAACCTCTCTCTCAAAAGCGAGCGCTCATGAGCGCTCATCCCCTTCCATTGCTGGGGGCTTGGCTCCAACCTCTCCACCCGGGTAGGTAGACGCCCTATTCCATTGGCCTTTGAGACAATTTGCGCGCTTAGTAGAGGTGCAAAACATCAATGCTATGATGTATATTATTACACCTACCTACCTACCATAAGTTTATTAGTAACCATGATACAACCCTAAAATGGGTTATTTTGAACACCTACCTTTGACCTACCTTTGACCTACCTCGCCTACCCCCTCCCCACTTGCTTGTGTTGTAGAACAATGCTCATTGCCGGCGTAAGCTGATCCCTTTGTACCCCGTCGTATTGCGCCCAAGTATCTTGACTTGCTTTGCATATGTGACACCTTTCACACCTTGCATCATTCCTTTGAATTCGGTTACCGTCATAGGCCGGTCTCGCCTTCCAACATAATTCTCGAATGCTTGCTTCAGCACGTCCACATGCGTTGCCCACTTCTCTCCTTTCACACAATGATCGGCAATGAAATTCTCGAGATGATCATTTGCTTCTACATAGCCTTTGAGGGCTTCTTGCATTTTGCGTGGTAGTTCTCCAACTTGCGGCAGACTGCCTCTAGCATACCACGCAATGCTTCCTCGCACAAGCCAAGCAAGCATTTGTTTCCTCCACTCCGGACTTTCGATCTTTTCGTTGAGCTGATAATCAATCAAGCGTTCGTTGGAATCGGGCGTGGGTTCTTCAACAAATTCCCGTTCAAAGGGAAACACACGAAGCTTCTTCAGCGTACCACTGTCCTTAACGTCAAACTTTGGTAGGGAATTTGTGCAGATGATTGGCAGACAGCGGTATGTGATGTCGACGGGATCCTTGCACAACCCCCGTACACTCATTCCCCCGTCACCTGATGCAATGGATTTGACATTCGCAACGTTGTAGATGTCCTCTGCTTTCGTCTCTTCCAGACCTGCAATGTGCGCCCCCTCGAGCTTCACGAGATGTGGAGTAGCGGCGCCTTCTGACCTTGCGCCAACCCCGATGACGCAATCGCGGTCCATCGTGCAGAAATACAGCCGGATTGCCGCCTTTACGAGAGCGAGAAGCTTGGTCTTCCCTGAATTTGAAGGTCCGTAGAAAATGACGAACTGCTGCTCTCTTGAATGTCCAGTGATGCCGTAGCCTAGAGTCATTTGCAAGACCTCAATGATGTCCGGTGTTTGGATCTGTAGCATGAAGTCATCAATCAACGGTGACGGATAATGAGGTTCGACATAATCGGTGTCGGTTTCTCTCGAGAGCATATTGCTTGGGTGATGTGGTATGAGTTTGCCCGTTGGCAAATGGATTGCGCCTGAGCTCGTGTTTAAGTAGTCTCGATTTGCATTAAGCTCCTTGGCAAAGCCATCAAGCTTCAACATTGCCTTTAACGGTGTCAAACAGCGGGTGGCGATTGGAACGGATTCAACGTCGGGTCCTGGCCATTTAGCAAGATCATTGGCGTCCTTCTCAAATGCTCTGAAGGTCCTCATGATTGCTGCCTCGGCTGTCCTATTCGAGTGACTGTCTTTTTTGGCGTTGCGGAGTTCCACCAAGCTAGCGTCCCGTGCACGTTTTCCATCGAGGATCTTTTCACGGCTCTCGTCCGCGTTCCGCTTCAACCAAAAAGCTTTTACATCCCCCATATGGTGCATGAACGCGGTCTTGATCAATGACGCTTCCACGTCGCATGCAATTCATGTTCTTCCGTCCCAAAACCAGAAGTTTCCCGCATCGTACACAATTCGCCTGTCGTGCAGGAACAACCTGGTGAACATTGAAGCGGCTCCGTAGTCGCTCCGACACACCATGCTCCTCATGAATGTCGTGGGCAACCGCGCTTCAAGATTGCTTTCATGGGTAACCCTTTGGTCTCGAATCCCGAACTCGTCCACCGACGCTTGCTCAAGAGCGGCCGAGATGCTCAACTGGCCCAGAACTTTGATGTTGTTGTGCTGACAGGCAGTGCCAAAACAATTGTAATATACACTGCGGAAGTCTCCAGCACAGCCTTGGATGACTGTGAAGTTGTTCAATCCATTGTGACTCTTTCCAAGGTAGCAAGTCCGTGGACCGTTCACGCGGAATTGAAATGCGCGGTTGCCCTCTCAGGGAAGCACCGTTGTGCCTCCAAAACGCGCATTCCCGTCTTCTTTTGTTCTCGTTTGGAGCATTTTTTGTACCTCACGAACTGCGTTTGACATCTGATGATCACCGACTGGTTGGGTTGCAATCGGTGGACGTTCGACGCCCCTAAGCTCCATTGGAGATTCCTCTTTTCCACCTTTGCTTATGGTAACACGCAGACCGGCATGATTGTTGACCATCTTCGTGACCCATAGTGGCATCTCTTTGCACGCCTCATAAGTGGGAGGCCCATTAAGCCACTTGTATGTCGCAAGCTCCTCGCGGCCGTTCACATAGCTTGTTGGATGAGCAAAAACCACACCCCCGATCCCCCTGCCGTCAATAGCAAAAGTTTTGTTGTCGACGTTCACCCCTGAGAAGTTCCGCTTCCACTTGAGACCAGGAGAATCAAGCTTGAAGTAAAGGTGCAAACCACCAGAGCCAGTTTTTGCTGTTAGTGTATCCGGCTCCCCATGGAGCTCAACAAGCTGTTGCCATAGCTCAAATCCTGGTCGTTTTTCTCCCTTTGCAGCCACATCGATGTCGATGACATATACTTGACTGACTGAGGCGACTATTGCGAGACCGTTTGCGTATCTTTTCTCCTTCAATGCAGAATTGATGGACCGCTCCCATGCCTCAAAATCCTTGATGTGATCATATTTGTGGGGGAAATCAGCCCGTTTGGAACCCCTAACAGAGTCCCATGAGACACACACGGGCAGAGCGTACAGACCATTGTTACAGAGCCGTTGCATCTCTTCCCCAATCCTGCTAGGCCCTAGGACCTCGATTTTTCTAGTTGCTTGAGTGTCCTGGACGCTGGGTTGTTCCATGCCCAATGTCCTTGTTCAACGCAAAGAAAAAAATCCTCGTCAAATGAACGCACACAACTTTCGGGCCGAGCCGCGGTCAGAGTAAAAAAATAATCTTATGTACAGTGTAGGACTGAGTCCAGCATGGTCCATCCCATGAATGAGCGCATTGCAAACGTCTCTAACATACTTCGGGTTGTTCCATGCCCATGCCAAGCTTGTCAAAAGCACCGGGAATATGCAAAGATCCATCCGGAAAAACACAATGCAAATATGAAAGCATATTACTACAGACATCAGGATGCAATCTTATTGCGGAAGGCGTATCAACGATACGTGAGTGGACGAACAAAAAGGCTTCACAAGACCACAGCTCAACGTTTGATTGACGCCGACTTCAATATACCTCACATCATAAGCCCTTCGGACGCAGAGAGTGAGTCCGAAGCACCCACCATTTTAATGGATGCATTCACAGGCATCGAAGTGTCATAGATGAACGAGATGGTCCAAGATCATGTCGTGCACGCAACTTTGCTCAAACCTCAACTTGCAAAAAGTACGTTGACGCTTAAGCATCATCAAAATTAATCCGCGATCCATCCGGGTTGTACTTTAATTCGTAAACGCGCGTCTGGATGGTGCTCGAGTGGAGCATTTTCTTAGCGAGCTCCTCCCGGTCGGCAATGCTCGGTGCATCCTTCATTGCATTTGAGACGCAGATCTTCCGAAGCAGACATGTGCCCACTCTAGCATCGTCAAAGATGCTTGCGCAAAATTTGGTGAGGTAATTGCGGCTCATTGGTTCATCCGGTGTGCGCATCCGGCTCAGGAGGTACTTTCTGGGAAAGATCTATAGGCTCTCCGCAATGACATTGCATGTGCGCTGTGGAAGGTCGATCTTTTGCTCTCCATAGGCTTTTGAAGTCTTGTATTCTTTCAAAACGACTCTGTATTGGCCCTTCGAGTACTCCTGAAGATAGTTGCCGCCCCCACTCATCAGGGCTTTTGCCGAAGGCGCGTGCATTTCCTCAAAACGTATGATTGGCAGGTTGGAGTAATCATTCCGGAGAGTGGCGCTCTGACTGTATAAACATAGCACCAAATAGCGGATTAGGATCACTTTGTCTCCGGTTGTTAACTGTCCGGATGGTTTGGTTAAAATGTTGCGGTTCACCTTCCTCTGGAGCTCCACGCGACGCTCATTGATCTGCGAGAGTGTCGTCCAGTTTCGGAACTCGGATTCGGTCATCACCTGCGGTGGCGGACGTGCCTTATCCATTAACGTCCGGACTTCTTGGTACCTTTTGTGGAGTGCTTGGTATAGCTCAATGTCTTTTGGAAATTCCTTTTTGGCGTCGATGAGAAGCGGGGTCAGGCCCGTGGCCTGCTCGAGCGTCCTTGGAACGGTTACTGAGCGTTCGTCACCTTTTGGATCCATGGCCTGTTTATCTCACATAATCTTGGAAAAAAAACCTGGACCGACAAACGAGGTCAGGCCTCCAGATAAGTGAATATGGCTGTTCGGGATTTTCTGTACTTTCTGAGTTGCCTGAATGCTTTTGCATGTTTTCCAGTCGAAAAAAGGTTGTAGCAGCCGTGTTCGAAAAGTTATCGAACCTCATATTTGCTAGCAAATGTGACCCACTCAGAAAACGTGAATATGGCTGTACATCTTTTTTAAATCAAGCCTATCACGGCCATGCATTTTTCTAGAAAGTGCACATTCTCTAGTTATTCCGGTGAAGACGGCCGCTTCGATGGATTCGCGAGCATTTCCAAGAAAGGCACTTCGACATTCTCTGTCTCCCAGTCATCAGTGCTTCCTCCTGCCGCCACGTTCTCAAGAAGGCTTGAAAGGCTCCTCTCCGCTCGGAGTTATCTACGCGTACGTTTCGAGGCCGGTGGCCGGCCTCTTTTTCCTCATTCTGGGCGTACTTCAATGCACGTCTCCAATCAACGTAGATTGTGTACATTGAGCTGCTGTGTACGCAAGACTTGTCCCAAAAGCAATGGAATCCTTCTGCAATCAAGGATCTCACCACTTTCCGGGTGATGTGGGAGAGGTTATAGGGGTGAGTCAAGGCTCGCAAGCCGGCCAAAGAGCCAATATCAAGGTAAGTGTGCATACGACCAAACTCAAGATAGCAACGCGTGATGGCAGACCTCACTGACTTATAGACCCGTTCGTCCATGTCTGTGATGGCAGCTTGATCCTTCGGTGGATAACGGATGATCGAGTCCATTCGCAAACACAACCAACTTATTATGCACGAGCAAAAATTTGCTGATTGCTCAGACGAAATGCCAAATTTTTTGCTATCAATCACAACGTGCCAGAAAGTCTCGGGCATGGGCATGGTCGGCAGTCAATCTGCACCCATTGACTATACATCAAAGTTTCAAAGCCCGTGCATTTTGACTCATCACTGCTATCAATCACAACGTGCCCAGTCGGAAAGTCTCTGGCATGGTCACTAGCAGCAGTCAATTTGCATCCATTGACAATACATTTAAGCTTCGAAGCCCGTGCATTTTGACTTGTCTCTGCTATCAACACCAACGTGCCAACAAGTCTCGGGCATGGTCGGCAGTCAATTTGCACCAATCGGCTATACATCAGACCTCCAAAAGCGTGCATTTTGACTCGCGTGAGCTATCCACTACATTGAACATGCCAGAAAGTCTCGGGCATGGTTGACAGTCAATTTGCACCCATTGACTATACATTAAAGCTTCAAAGCCCATGCACGTTTACTCGTCTTTGCTATTATCTACAACGTGCCAGAAAATCTCGGGCATGGTCGGCAGTCAATTTGCACCAATAGACTATACATTAGAGCTTCAAAGCACGTGCATTTTAGCTCGTCTCGCGTGCTATCAAGTACAACGCGTCAAAAATCCCGGGCATGGTCGGCAGTCTATTTGCACCAATTGACTATACATCAGAGCTTCAAAGCCCATGCATTTTTACTCGTTTCTGCTGTTAACTACAACGTGCCCAGAAAGGTCCCGGGCATGGTCGGTAGTCAATTTGCACCCATTGACTATACATCAGAGCTTCAAAGCCCATGCATTTTTACTCGTTTCTGCTGTTAACTACAACGTGCCAGAAAAGATCCCGGGCATGGTCGGCAGTCAATTTGCACCAATCGACTATACACCAAACCTCCAAAAGCGTGCATATTGACTCACGTGAGCTATCCACTACAACATGCCTGAACGACTCGGGGCATGGTCGGCAGTCAATTTGCACCCATTGACTATACATTAAAGCTTGAAAGCCCGTGCATTTTGACTCGTGCAAGCGACTACAACAAGCCACAAAGAGGGCGTGCTTTAAAGAGGCAAAACCATTTGCGGACGCGGCAAGCGACGCGGTTGGATGAAAAAAGACTGACAATGAGTTATATGTACACTCCTACAATACATAATGAAATTCTCTAGATCTATGCAGCTTCTCTTCAATAAATCACCACCTTTACAACCTAATTATGCACTCCTCTGCAGCCCCTACTCCCGGATCGTATGAACCGTATCGCTCATGCAAGCCCCTATAGATTGCAGGCGTCAAGAGGTGGGGAGAGATGAATTTGTTGTTGCTCTTTTTTGCCAGCTGGAGCTCAACTCCGAGGCCCGCTCTGAGAACTTTCCCCACTGCATTGCGCTTCTGAGCCTTTCTCTCATTCTTCCCTGTTTCGGCCGTTTTCGAGCGCCTGGAGATCTGCTGCACAAAGCCGTACAGGTTGAAGATGGTCTGCAGCTGCTCTTTGCTGAATCCGATGAACCTCGCATAGGCGGCCTGCACGCGCTCCTCCGAGACCTCCCACAGCTCCGCTCCATGGTCCAGCTGCTCCTCTTCGCAGCCGACTAGGAAGGCAAGGATGCGGACCGCAAACGGCACGCGGTTGAGGGGGTCGCGGACGACCTTGACGTACTCCTGGACCACGCCCGACTCATTGACTTGGCCCAGCGCTCTGTCCAGATCGCCGGCGAGGGTGGCGAAGCGGTGCTCACGAAATCTGTATAGCACAACCATCGTCAGAAGGCAGCAAATGGAAGGGTTCATTCATTGCAGTGAGGGCACAGAAAGACTTCGTGTATGCCCCTGAAACAACGCAAAAGCAGGCCCTCCGACACACCCACAACGAAACCCGCATCAGGCTCCAAAGCACCTTGACTTCCGGCTGTAGTCAAACTGATTGCACACCAAACGGATGGATCGCAGCCCTGAGACTAGCCCCTTGAACAATCCTGGTTGTGCATCAAAAAACAGCATTAGAAGTGCACCAGAGATGAACCTGACTTGGTTGGCTTGGGATATGTGCTACACTCTTCAAACTCAAACATTCACATTCAGCAGAAAGAGCTCAGCGAAGGGTGCATAAGAGCTCCAACTTCTGCTCGAGCCGCAACGCGGGGTCGCAGAATTCACCTGAGGTAGTTTGCGTGAGCCTCTTTCGTCTCTTTCGCATCGTCCGTGTCGGGCGCAGAAGCGACGGTAGAAGCTGTGGTCAACCCGCCTAGGGTCGACCTTGTACTCACTCGTCACCATCTCGAACAGGTACTCTTGGAGCTGCTCCCTCGGACTCAGCTCCTCCGGCCTCTCGCACAAACGCCCGTACAGGTCCGAGTTGATGATGTACCTGGCTCGCCAGTCTTCGTCATCCAGAAGCTCCGGGTCTGGGTCGAAGCCGAGAGGTACCTCTGGAGGCGGACGCTCGAGGTTGCCCTGGAGATTCAAAAGTAAAAGGGTGAGAGTTTGATTCTCCTGCGAAAGCAAACGTGGTATAGCCTCAAAGAAATTGTTTGCAAGTCGCCGGACTCTCAAACCGAGCCACAACTTCGACGCCTCTGTTGTCAGCCGCATGTCTGACGGCACCTTCAAGAAACTCAACTTTGAAAGACAGCGCACCAGCTACACCGGACTGATTGCAAAGCCTAACCACGGCACAAGACAAGCCTGATTCTGCTTCCAAATCAGCTTGAGCACGGCCCCCAAACGAGGGCCCAAGCAGGCCCAGAGCAAACCCGGAACCAGGTTGACCACAGCACAACATTGGTTAGCATGACCACGTCCCCAAGACCAACTTGACTGCGGCCCCAAACCAGCCCCGAAACCAACCCCAAACCAAGGCCAGAGCAGACCCGGAACCAGCCCAATGGCGGCACAAAACCAGCCTAACCACGCTCCCCAAGACATACTTGACCGCGGTCCCCAAAACAGCCCCGAAAACCAGGCCCACAGCAGACCCGAAATCGACCTAAGCGCACCCCCAAAACAGCCGCCTGCGACCTTAGGTCAGCTTGACCACGGCCCGAAACCTGGTGCCTAGAGCAGACGCGGAACGAACCTAACCGCGCCCCCCAAAACAGCCTACGTCTGGTAGAACTTCAGGTCGAAGTCAGAGTCCAGGTCCGCATGAGATCTCACATGACAGCAGATCACATACCCACATGTCTGAAACGCCCTCCTTCAGAACCGGATGAGCTTGCAACTCAAGAAATCTGATGCTAGCTCTGAGCGCTCGGCAATCCCACCCTTGGTTCGATGTGCTCAACCGTCACCTCGTAGCCCTGCTTCTCTAGGTCGGCCTTCAGCTTCGGCACGAACTCTAGATAGCTTTCCACCTTTGCGAGGATGTTGTTTGCGTATAAGACGCAGCTCGCTGAGGATCGGTCACAGATGCCACGCGAACCCCTCAGGAAGTGGAAGCCTGAGGCGTCACCGAGCATCCTGACAATCTGCCTGTCGTCCCGCTCGATGGCCTGGAAGACCGCCTCGGTAGAGCGCGGCAGATCCACTGCTGACGAGACCACCTGTTTGTAGTAGATGGTGGAATTCGTGACCGTCCGGAAGCGAGCGTGCTGCTGGAGGAGCGTCTCAACGTCAGACCCATTGAGGCTGTTAAGAGCGAAAGCGACCGTCTCCTCGGCGTACGGCTTCTCTTTTGAAACGCCGGGGCCGAGTTTTGGGGAGAAGGCCACACAGTCCGCCTCCAAGAAGGTGTCGGGCTCGGCCATTGCCTTCTGGAAGAAGTCCTCATCGGCCTTCGACCTCTTGTCGGCGTGAAGAAAGATGCCGCGCTTGTGGGACTTGGCGGGCGGGTACTCGCGGTTGAAATGATGTTCGAGGTGTTTCACAAAGCGCTTGGAGGTCGAAGGGCACTGCATCAGAATGGCCGAGCAAGTTGTTAGCTTTTTCCTACGAGTGAAAAGCGGATGTTCATTTGTCTAACAAAGACTCTCCGGAAACCAAGCCCCAAATAAGCGGACCCCAACAGTCCGTTCGGAACATTAGGATGGTCCCGGCCTGACCATAGCCTGTGGAAGCAAGTCAGAAGTTAAGCCCACGACCAGTCAACAACAGCCTGGTAAAACTTGCCCGTGGACCCAATTGATTGCGTTTACACTTCCAAACAGCTTGATTTGCAGCTCGAAACCAAGCCTCCAAACTCATGCCCACCACATTCCTGAATATCAGAGCTAATTGTAGCCTCACAATCCTGAATATCAGAGCTGATTGCAGCCGCAGATCAGTCTGACCACAGCCCCACAAATACTCATTCAGCGTGACCACACTCCAAGCAGCTTGAACGCAACAGAGAGTCTACTCAAAACCATGCAACAAACTTGGGAGCAGCACGAAGATAATACCCTTTCGAGATCATAAACCAGCTCGTTTCCGTTGTTTACAGCAAGAGCGGCTGATTAGTCACCAAAGACATTAAAGACAACTCACAACAACTTTCGTGCCTCGGGCGACACGGTCCAACACATCCTGCACGGCGGTGCCGATGCACTCGAGCGAACCGCTCGCTTGCGAGAAGACCCGGATGGTCGCGCGCCTCGCCGCTGGATACAAGCCTCTGTTTCGGATGGTCTGGAGGACCGCATCCGGGCGCGCCATGAAGAGGTATTCCATGACCCGCGCGCAGTCGATGTTGGCGTCCATGCCGATGACGACCTTCGCGCCCGCGACGAATGCCTCGAGGCAGGACAGCACCCTGCCCCGTTGGGACATGACCTCGGAGTTGAGGTTGGTGAGCACCATGTCCATCTCGTCCATCCCCACGATGTCCATCTTGAATTGCACGCGATGGATAGAGTTGATGCAGCAGACGACACGGGGGTTGTTGATAGGCCCCGGAGGCGCCTCTTGGTAGAGCACGACGTCCCTCACGCCCGCGTCGACTAAGTCCTGGTGATACTTTTGAGAAAGCGAGATGTTAGCTCCGATCAGGAGGAAAGAGGGCCCGGGGTTCCTCCCGACCATGGCCACCTCCCAATCCATGAACGCTTTTGACTTCCCCACCCCCTTCTTGGCGGAAATAAGCATTGTCCGCTTGCGGACGTGCTCGATCTCAAAGACGGGGTAGGGTCGCATCCCCAGGTCCTCCTCGTAGTCTTCCGTCCAGCCGAGGGTGGTGAGCATGTCCAGGGGCAGCATCCGGCACTCGCCCCTGCAAAAAGGAAGCGTAAGATGGGCTTGAGAACGTGTAGAATCTTCTTCGAAGACTCAGGCTCAGCTTAAACACCCCTTGAGGCCCACGCTGAAGTAATTTCCGGCCGCTCAATCTGTTAAGGCCTGATGTGCCCCCGAAATCTCCTCGACTAAGCCTCATGTCAACCGGCGCTGTAACAGTAGTCTAGGACTACATCAGGCTCGCACCAAGCATCGGACCAGCCCTACTCAACCACACGAAATCAGCCTGATTTCGAGCAAGGCAGATCCAAACCCAAAGGAGGCCCACAAGGTAGGCCCCAGCGCAGGAGCCCCTGAACCGGCCTAACCTCTGCAGCAGATCAATCCTAAAAAACACAACCGAACAATGAAAGCTGCCCTGAAGACAGATCCATATGCTGCCCCTGAAACAATGCCCAAAAGCAGGCCCCCTGACACACCCACGGCAAAACCCACATCAGGCTCTAAAGCAGCTTGACTTCTGGCCGTCAATTTTACTGCACACCAAACAAGTTGACCGCGGCCCTGAGACTGGCCCCCAAAAAACCTGAGCCCAGATAGGGTCGCTCAGATCAATCTTGTTAGCTCGATCGCACTTGAAACTGACAGGTTGCCGTACAGACACCAGGCTCGACAATCTGCACCTTCTTGATGTCCGATTCTCTGAAGAACGGTTGCGCAAATTGACGGAATTTGCGAAGCGCCATTAAGTCTCTGCTCACCTTTCAAAAACTCACCTGCAGCTGTTTGCAAAGCACTGATAGCGTGCGATGCGCGGCTCGTCTCGTTTGTAGATGAGGTACGGATTCTGGTTGCCTGGTGATGTGTGGCGCCTTCCCGCAATGCAGCACGTGGGCTCCGGCGCCTGGAAGTGAACGAAGAAGACTCCCGGCCGCTCCTGGACCACCCGGCTAATTTCGGCCCCTGCGTGGTCCTCCTGGTAGCGGGCGAGGAGAATGGCCCGCTCCTGCTCCGAAAGGTCCTCGGCGCCGGGGCCCTGTGAGGTCCTCGTCTCTTCGAGGGTGAGCGCCCTCTGTCGGAAGGACCCCACGCGGGGCCGGGCAGCGGGGGCGAGCCTCGCGATCGCCCACTCCCCGAGGAGGGCGGCTCTGACCTCGGTGGAACCAGCCACTTCCGCTTCTGAGTATAGGCAGACCAGGTGGTCCACGATCGCCTCGGAGCTGCCCTCCGATGGGACGAGGGGACGGAAATTATCCCCAAACTTGGACGACCTTAGCAGCCGGAAGCAGCGGCGCCGCCCGTAGACTGATCCGTCCCACAGATAGTCGGACCCGCCCTCTTTCCGCATGAGCTCGACACTCGCTTTCAGATCGTCTGGGGGATTCTCCAAGAAGGACCCAAGGGCCTTCCCGAACGCCCTCCTGGCGTCCGATCCCCTCAGGTGAAACCCCTCCGGCACCTCGTGCACGCTGAACTTAAAGCCCTGCTTCGGGGGCCGCGCCGGCCCGTGCGCCTCGCACGCTTGATATCGGAGCGCACTCTCGGGGACATTGAGCACCGAGGTCAGGAACCGGTCTCGGACGGAGTGAAATGCTGCCAGGCGCCGCTCAAAGTCGTTGGAATCCTTGGTGGCGACCGAGAAGTCCAGGTCAAAGTAGACGCGCCAGCAGGCGTCGTCCTGAATGACTTCGTACAGGTGAGCCGGTCCCCCAAGCGACCTTCGAAACGCCGCCAGGGCTGCGACGTCCTTGAAACTGCCCCAGCGCTTTGCCCCTTCCCCGTTTACGTCCTGAGCCACGACGATCGCATGGCCCTTTGCTCGCTGCTGCCGGAGCGCCAACACAAGTTTTCGCAACCAGCCGGGCCCGCTGTCTTCGACCGACGCAGCCTGAGGGGGATCCCCAAGCAGCTGCGTGAGCGGCTCGGTGGGCGGAAGCGCAGACGACGTCTCTGCGGACGGCTCCGCTGCAGTGGGCCGACTTGTCTCCATTGGCGGGGGCTGATTTGGCGGGTCGGGCGCATGCGCCTGCTCTTGGTGGGCGTGGGAAGGGGAAGGATTCACTGAAGGGAGCTGACCGGGGACCTCGGGCCGTGGGTTTTCGTCAGGGAGCGGGGCTATGTCGAT